CTCGGTCCCTACGCAGACTGATCCAAGTGGTCACCCACCCGCACACTGACCGCAGCCAGTGATGCTTGACTTCGGTGATCTGCTGGGAACCGTGTCTTAACGATCAGTCCACTGCGGGACATTTACGCTTTTAAATATCGTACATTATGACTTGTATTTACGAGATTTAAAAATCCAATATCGTGTTTTGTATTTATGTATTTTTGAAATCTCGATTTAATTATCAAACATCGATTTTCGTATTTCGTAGAGTTTCATATTCACGTGATTTAAAAGCCTCACATCGGGATTTATAATCACATGGTTTGCAAGTTTGAAAATCGCACTTTTTTGTCAAATTTTCGTATATATATATATATTCTAGGATTTCCTCTTTTTTACGTTCTGACTACTCTCATCCCTGTAAAAAAAGTGAACTTCATAAAAATATGTTTGCTACAAAAATAGAGATGTTGAAAGGTGATTATTAAAAACACTTCCTACTTTCATCAGGCAATCAAACTGGCTTTGATAATTTTCAATCCTCCATCTCACAAGTGATTCAACAAATCTTGATGTCTTTCTTTTTTTCCTTGCTTAAGTGTTAATTTGAGTCAAATAATGCGTATGGTTTTTAATTTCTTTTATGACAAGAAGTCTCAAAATATATATTAAGAATGGCAATTACAGAATACCTTGTATAGTAACAATGCCTTGAGAGAAGAAAGGATTTTCTTAAATAAATAAAATCTACTTTTTTGCAAAACAGTTGAACAAAATTAATTTTTCAAAATATTTAAACAACAAAATCACACACTTGATATTTGTATGAGTTGTATTTGTATTTGAAATGTAGTGTCAAATTAATGAAAAAAACGTCATTCTTAGCTAATGTAAAAGAGAGAGGAGATGCTTAGTTTAGTGCTCATTGAGGAAACCATAACCTACAGCTCTTCACCCTTCGAAAAAATTGCAAAACTTTTTTATTAAGTTTAGAAGATCGTTTCTCGTTTTAGTTACCTTTTAAATTCTAAATTTGAGTTCATTTTTTCATGATAAATATCTAGGGTAAATCACGCTCTACCTTTAGCTAGAAATTGATTTACAACAAGGCCAATTTGACCTTTTTTTTTCAAGGAACATAAAAGCATTATTACTCAGAATTTTCAATGTTTTTTTATAGTAAAAAAAAGGCTTTTTCTTATTTCGTAACTAATGTTTTTAAAATGTATACTCTTTTTATGCGGCAATCTTTTATGATATTTAGTATGTATGTGTATATATATATATCCATATCATAAATATAGCGTATTTATGTAAAAACTACTTTAGACAATTTATTTCCAATTTAAAAATAATTCCTGGTGTATACAGAAATAATTAATTAACAAATTCTTGAAAAAAAATTTTAATTAAAAAATTATTATATATATAGTTTAAAATGTTAATTGATATCTTTCTACATTACTTATAAAAGGATTTTTGTGTATCGATTTTCACCCAGTTGAATGCCTTCAAATCTTTAGCTCAAAATATTTAAATTGATATCGGAAAACTGTTAAGTGGGATTAGAGAAGCACTACTTTCTGCCTTATTAAACGCCTGGTAGTTAATTCATCAGTTAATCCTGGCATCATGTCTTTTATTTATTTAAATTTTATCTATTTTTATCCTAGATTCTGTTTTGTTTTTTTTTTTTTATTGACGAAAGCTAGTTTTCAGATGTTTCAAATATCACTAAACTAAAACAAAACATAAAGACATTTTTCCGAAGCTGAAAAAATCATTTAATATTAAATTGCAAATAGTATAGATAGATAGCTATTGCATTTTATTTCTAATTTTTATTGGGCGATAAAAATTCTTATTTTGTTCTTATATTTTGCATGCGTCAAAGAAGAAGAAAATTATCGATTAGAGTAAATAGTAAATATTTTTTTCAGACTGCTGGTACAAAATTAAATAAAACTAATTAAAAGTAAATAAAAAAAAATAGCAGCTTTTTGTTTCAGCGAAATTCTGTTTCAAGACGAAAGTCTTTTTCACGCTTTGACGGAGTTTGGACAGCAGTGTTCCTTTTATATATCTTTTTCCCGACTCTCTCATTATAAACAAAAATATATTTTGGATTTTTTTATTTATAAAAAACAGTCTAATAGTAACTAAAAAAATCTGCTAGATTAAAAGACCTATACTTGTACTAAAATATTGAGAATCCAAAAAAAAGTAGTTTGAAAAAAATATTGTTCATTGATATTTAAAAATTTATCAATAATTGATTTTGTAAATTAAAGAAATTTCAATGATGTATAACTGTTTCTCTTAGTTCTAAATATAACTGCAAATTTGATAAATTTTTGTTTGGAGGTAAACCGTGTTTCGAAGATTTTGCATTTAACGCAGAAAAAGACACCGGTGTTTCTTGCTGCATTTTACAACCATACATTACTACAATGCTAGATATAATATTTTTCAAGTATCTTGACTTCAATGCATACAACCATAAAAAACATGTTTAGCAAAAAATTCTACCTCAAAGGGTTAATGCGAAGTTACGCAAACTAAGTGGAGGTTATAAAATTATCGATTTGAATTACGATGAAAAGAAGAAGAAAAGAAAAAATGATAGATTTAAGAGCACTATTACGATTGAAGTGAGTCGCACAGACAGAGTGGCCTTAAAAGAGCTTTGATAATTTTCATTCGATGTCGAAAAGCAGAGCATTTATTTTTAGAAATCCTTGAAGAAAGTTTCCAAAATAACCTCTCTACCTTTTGCTGCGTTGAGAGAAACAATTCATACGGATTTCCCGATAATGCTTGAAAATATTTCTCTATAAAATTACTAGTTTATGAGTTTGAATCTCAAAAATTTTAATGATGACTCCTTGCATTTTGAATTTATACTCTTATAATCATATCTGCCGGGCCCTAGTTTTACCAACAACAGAATACAAGTAATGCCTTCCAGAAATGACGTGAATAGTTTGTTGTTAGTATCCATCAATATTTTCTTTTAAAATACAATTTTCCAAAATGAATGTGCGTTCTTATTCGTCAAGAACCGGAAATTATTCATCTAGAAATTATTCTTCGGGAAATTATTCGTCTGGAAATTATTCGTCGGGAACTTATTCATCAGGAAATTATTCTCCAGGAAATTATTCTTCAGGATATGTGCCATCCCGAATTCCATATTCCAGTAGTTCAGTTACCAGCCCAAGAGTTTCAAGTGTGACATCGGTAAGTGTAAACAAATGTTCTAATGTTAAATAAGATACAGAGTTATATGTAAAACATGCTTCTTATGCCTCTTCCTTATTGACATGTTGTGAGAATTCTTATATTATTATTTCTTCTATCAACATACTTTCTTTTTCATCTGCAGATTATTCGTCTCAGAAGTATCAACAGACATATATTTAGAGCTAATCCAAAATAGTTGTCACTTGATTCAGAACATAATTAAATTTTGGAATATATTGGTATACTTACGAAGACATACACATATGTAAAACATATATTTCTTATACATCTTCCTTATTTACATATATTGAGAATTCCTATATTATTAATATTTCTTTTATCAACATTTCTCATCTGCAGATTTTTCGTCTCAAAAGCATATGTTTAGAGCTCATCCAATATAGCTGTCACTTGATTCAGAACATAGTTAAATTTTAGAATATATTGGTATATTGATCAGCTGAGCCCTCCATTGTTTTTTAAACAATGGAGGGCTCTGCTGATCAATTTTACTTACGAAGAATTTAGTACAAGAAAGCTTCTTTGATAGTTTGTAGCAACTCTAAATTGGCACATAAATATAGTTTTTTGTCCCTTTAAAAATTAAAATTATAGCATTTTACTTTCAAACTGGTATCTTTTAATAAAATAGAAAAAGCACTACACTCGCAAAAATTGGTTCAGCGTTGAACCATAATACAGTGTAAATTCACTTCAACCATAATAAGGTGTTATTTTGACCACGGTACCTCTTAAATAGTACCCTAGTATCTTTCGATCGAGTTCAAGAACCACAATATAGTTCCACTTAGCACCTTTTTAAGGTTTCAGCAAATTTATTGGATCTTATGGTTTAATTCGCTGTAAAATTTCTGTCAGTAAGTATTGGCAAAGAAAACCTTATTTTTTAAATATAATAAAAAGATCATTAAAATTTGAATTAAGTTAAATTTTTAAAAGCATTTGAAGTTCGTATTCATATCTTAAAATATAAATGATATTTAAAGAAATTAATAATATTGATATAAAATATGAACAATGGGGTATATAAGATATAATTTCCCAGTCCTACTCTAAAATAGGATATTCCGGTACAAGTTTAGGTATCGTCGCCGAAAGAAATCCCTCAGGAGAGGAGATGCAGGTTCTATCAAGTACATGCCAAATCGAGGTGCTCGGTGAACCCCCCTCCCCCCCGTAGCATTTGCTGAAAAACCAAAAAATTTTACACATGATGATTTGAGATTTTACATGTAAGCATATATATTTAGATATCTGAAATTAATATGTACTGAAAGTACATAAAGTTAAAAGATTCAAAATGCACCTTTAACTCAACAAATTGTTATAATAATTGTTATATAAAATAAATAAGTTAAAATCAGATAGTTGAAATAGACAAAACATTAAAAACCTAAATTCAATGGGGTGCATATTATTCAAATAGAATGAGGATAATTATTTTGCATAAATGTTATGAAAAAGAATAGTATATTAAATAGTAATAAATATATAATTTGCATATAAAATAAATTAGTGTACAAGGGAGTAGAGGATGTGATAAAGTGTAACACTTTGTCAGGTAAGACACCAGAAGAATGGAAAAAAGTGTGTTATCATATATGAACGGTCCCTAAAATAGCACTTTAAGAAAGTTTTAAAAAAAATAAAAAATTTTACAAACACGAAGTAAAATTTGGAAAAAGGATCCAAATCGAATGCTCCCAATTAATACTATAATAATCATTAGGGCTTTTGGTAAATATAATTAGTTTTACCTTGTGTCTAGATTCCGCTGAACGAAATGATTCTATTGAAAATATTGCATTATTTTATCCATGTTATTCAAAAAGATTTGATTTTATCATTAAATATTTAATGATAAAATTAGTTCTTTTTTTTTTTGAATAACATAGATAAAATAATGCAATACTTTTAATAGAATCATTTCTTTAAAAATATTTCTGAATACATCTACATTTTTTAAACTAATTTTAGTTAAATGAGAGCATTTTAAGTCATTTATTAGCAGTCGGCATTTTTGGCAGCCACGATTGCGGAATTTAGACACAAGGTAAAACGGATATTTTTTACCAAAAACCTTAGTATTAATTGGAAGCTTTCGTAATGGATAATTTTTTTTCTTTAAATTCTAATTCGTGTTTGTAGATATTTTTTTTTACTTTTTTAACGTGCTATTTTAGGGGCCCTTCATATATAACACACTTCTTTCCATTTGTCCTACTATCCTCTCTGGCAAAGTGTCACACATTATCATACCCTCCACCCCCCTGTCACATGTTGCGTTATATTACATAAAGATCTATATACTTAGTGATGCAAAAATCTACCGCTTTTGAAAACCTGGAAATTTTGGGGAAGAAACCCGGAATTTGGGGGATACTGGGAACTTTAAAAATTAAAGAAAGCCGGCAATTTTCCATTGTAAATTAAGGGATTCGAATTAACATAATTGATATAAGAAATATAACAGACGCAACGTAAATAAGCAACACAGCTATAAACAGCTTAATCAGCGTAACATTAATTAAAATTATTTTCAATTTTTTACTTTTCTGAATATTTAACGAAAATAAACATAAAATACTTCATTAAAAGTCAATTTTAAATTGAATATTTTTTTATTTAAGAAATTTCTTCTTTAAAAAATTACTGAAAATCATTTTTTTTAAAATAATTTTTTAAAAAAATATCAGCTAAAAATAGATCATAATATTAAAAAAAGAAGCATGGAACTGTTTTTAAAATTTCACATTTTAATAAATTGTTGAATTAAGATATCTTAAAAAAATAACTAAACATGTTTTCGTATTTCAAAACCTACTAAATTTAAGCTTTTTGCAAATGCTTTAGAACATCGTTTCATGCTAGTATGGCGACAATTTTCGCCAAATGTTCTAGAAATGTAGTTAAAATCATACACATGGGCGACAAATTTGTTGCCTTGAAATATATTAACAATTTACAAAATAGTAACGAAAAATAGCTTTTTTTGCATCGAATTCCATGCATTAAATACTAATTTTATTGTTCTACGCGTGGTATTTAAATGGAATAATTAAAAGTGTCTGGAACAAAAAAATTAAAACATACATGTTGTGCTGTGCTTTGCATTCATGTACAGACAATATTATTGCTTATTAATAAAGTAATATTTTTTGTTCTATTAGAATTGACATTATATAAAATTTTATAATTTGTAGACAATTAATAGTTAATTTAATATTTTGTTTGCTCTTACTTTCGCTGTTTTCCTCATTTATTTACTTATTTGGTTGAATCTATTTACTAGCATTATTTTAGCTTTTTTTCACTTAATTTTAATAAATTCTAATCTTCAATCATTATGGGGTAATGAATCTTATTAGTTTTATGGCAATTAATCCTTGATGTATACCATAACATGAATTTTCTAATTGCAAAGTTCGATTTTTTTTCTCAAGTTTGTCTATCATATTAAGTTTTTGAACCATTTAATGAATACCTAGATGGCCCAATCAGACCACTACATTTTCATTGATGGTGTGAACATTAATCATAATTACAAAAAAATAATCCACTGATCACCTTTCGCAGAGGATCAAAATTGTGATGGCATGTCTTCGGATCATCCTTCGGGATGTTTCCCAGACCGTCGCCAATAGCCCATTGTGCAGCTCTAGTGCGACGTAAAGTAACAACAACAACTGATCCACCATGATCGGTGTTTCTGTATTTTCGGCCTATAGCTGAGTTTCTTTCGAAAGGCTCCTGCTTCTTACACTGTAATAAAGGCATCTATTAGTTAATTTAAACTATAGGGATTGAGCAAGGAATTTTTAAAATTTCCTTTAAAAAAAATTAATAAATAAAAAAAACGGCTTATTTCTCGGCACAAACCGGGGTTTTTCCAGCCTTTGCAACTCTTGATATACTTGCTGTTTAGAAAGAAAGCACTACGATATCGATCGTGTTTAAAATTTTAAATATGAATTTAAATAGGAATATTACTTTAATTCCTTATGAAATATGAGTATCACTTTAAATATAAATTTTAATAAAGTTTGTGTGAATAAACAGAAGTCTGCGAAGTTGGAGATTTTTGCAGGAATCAGAGTCGTCGAAAAGATTTACTAGACTTCGACTCTGGTTAGTTAAAAGTTATGTCCGATAGATTTAAAAGAGATATTTTTATCCTTATAAAAATTATTTAGAGAAGCATTTATGTTGATATAATATGACTTAAATGAATTTGTAACAATTATTTTAAATATAGATTACACTGGGGAACAAATTAATTTTTTTTGCATGAGTTTTTTATTTATTTAACGGATTTTGAATAATTCCTCGTTGCTAATTTAAAAACCGCGATCGGTTTCTCTCGCCAAGCTACAGGTTTTTTAATCACATTTGTCGAAATGAACAAGTTTAAAACCGTTATATATAACAGAGGTTCCCATAAATATTTTATTTTATAACCGTCGTTGAACAGCCTACCCAATTTTCGGCTTTACGACTACCAATGTTCAACTGTGTAGCCTTTTAATTTTGAACCCAATCCAGAAGACGAGGGAACTCCTAGATCAAGTATTGGGAAAAGTTTGCCTTCGGGGAGGACTTTCTGATGGAACTAACCCTCATTTGCGTTGCATGGAGAGGAAGACCACGAGAACCTCCCACGGTTAGCCTGACGGCAAGGGGACTCTAACCCATGATCCGTCTACCACTGAGGATATTTCACGTCAGCACTGTGGTCGGTGCAAACCGGAAGTCGAATTCGCATCGACCAGCCATCGCTTGGATTACGAACTCGGTTCACCTCATATGAAATTTAATAAAACGTGACCTGACTCAGAAAAAAGTGATAAGTTTTAACGCTGGTTTCAAAAAGGTGTGTTTAAAACTAAGTTATCATGAAGTTTAAAAGTAATTCTTCAGATCTACTCAAAACAACTTTAGCTGATTTATACATAAAAATGCTGCGATAGTATTACTTT